AAAAAGACATAGTTATTAGAGCAAGGAGACCCATGTATATTACATTTTTGATCATTACATTTGTACTTTTTATACTTTTGTACAATTTGATAAATGTCATGGAACATATAAATATGAGCGTATATACTTTGTAAAGACTAATACGTCTTTGGAAAGCACAATTGAGTGATCAGTAGGAATTGTAGTTGACAGTATATCTTTTGAGTTTTATTTGTTGGCAAATACGAATATTATTTATTTTAATATTTACCTAACGACATAATTGATTTTGTTTATTTTTTGGATAGAATTGTTTCGATCTATATTTGGTAGTTTCAAGAGTTAATTTCTTGCGCAAAAACTGTCGTTTGCATACATTATACTTTATACCAAGATTCTAGGTTAAAATAGGTAAACTATGTATTAATCATATTACCTTCTTATCACGTAAGTGTATGAAACAAAATAATTATTAGCTATAGCAACATATATATTTCTACTTAAAGTATTCCCTGAGGCGACTGAAGAACCCAAAACTGTTGAACCCACAGAAGCACCAACCGAGGCCCCAACAGATGCACCAACCGAGGCACCAACGGAGGCTCCAACAGATGCACCAACGGAGGCTCCAACAGAACCACAGCCACCACCACCACCACCACCACCACCTTCGAGTACGTAATTTACATTTAATTCGTTCCAAATATTTACTATCCAGACCACTCGTGACATACTATTACTTTTTGATTACTCGACAATGTTTTTCAAATATTTACATATTTATTTGTAGAATATCAAGTTTTTACTGACTTAGTACAAAACAGAGATGCTTACGGTGAATGCTATAAAAGAGGTATGATGCTTGCTGTCCCACATGATAAGAGTGCATATAATGACATAGTTAATGCAATCAAAGCCAAGGGGACACTGGATGCAAAACGTTTCTGGTTTGGTATAAGAACAATCGATGGAGAAATTAAAACAATTTATGGAAGTAACGCTTACTACCGAGCATTTGCACCTAACGAGCCCAGCGGTGATGGCGGCTGTATCAGTCTTTCGTGAGTGATTCTTTTCAATTTCCGTCAATATATTTGAATGCATCTGTCACGTGCCCGATTAAAGTAGCAGTCCCGTGACATTATGTCGTGGTCACACTCAGAATAAGTAAATGTGATTGTTTATGACATTAGACGTGGATTTCCGTGAAGTAAAGCTCATTATACGCCCTTCTAGCTAAAATCTTTGCAGTGAACTTGAGGTGTTAAGAATATAAAGATAAAAGTAATATTTGCATGGAAGGTTAACACATACTGAGATAGACAATAAAATACAATTGACCTGTCACACCAGATATATCCATAGTCAAGAGCTTCTTAATTGCTTGTTATCATTAGCGAATTAGTTCCAAGGGTAATTTTAGTGCATATTTTGGTTAATGTTTCGTCCTAGATAATATTTCAAATTAAGTTATTCCATTGGCATGTTTTTGTTTTATTGTTTATTTGAAGGCACTTATATTGTCAGCATTCTAAAAGTCAATTTGGTGTTCAATCTCATCATAAACTCTCACTGAGTTTTGGTTCTGTCAGAATACGAAAAACGGATAATTGTTCCGAATAATAAGCTTTTTCTATTATTTAATTGGGGTTAGTTTTTGTTTTTGTTATGCTACATTATATTGTTGAATTATATATTTTAATATATTTGTTGTATTTTGGGTGTATTTAAAAATAATTTACTAAAGATATAAGTCGATTAAGGTATGCTGGAAAATGTACTGTATTCTGTTTTTCCTCAAAGGGTGGAACAAGATTATAAGTACGACGATGTCAGCTGTGGGAACAAGGGTATGTCCGTATGCGAACCTCTAGGTAAGACTTTTATATGTGAGCTCGATTTTATGTTTTGTGACTTGAAACTATCCTCAGACTTGTGACTTGAAACTGTCGTTTATTTTGTACATTCGTTTAAACATGTAGGCATGTTTTAATTTCTTACTATTGAAGGACAGTTGTTGAAATAAATGATAAACTTGGTAAATTAAGATGATTTTATATCATATGATTTGTATATGTTTAGTAAGTAATCATTTCTAATTAAATTTTATTCAAAATTACAGATCCTAACTTTGCTGCACAGTTAGTCAAATACAAAGTATTCGAAATAAGGGCTACCCGTGAAGATTCAATAAATGAATGTAAAAGGAAAGGCATGGTACTTGCCAGAGACAACAATGAAGATGTCCATGCTGCCATTACAATCAAGATTTGGATACTTAACGCAAGAAAAGAGAATTTTCACATTGATGCACTCAAAAGTGGTTCCGACGTGGTATCAAGTGATGGCACTGTTCAGAATTTCAAACCATTCGCAAAGGGCGAAGTTGATGGACAAGGTGACTGCTTTTATCTACGGTAGGTATTGATATGTTATCGTGTGTGTCACTAATTGAATGTGTTCCATCGTCTAATACAATATTATCAGGCTGATGACACGGTATTCAGCATTTATGTTATTATTATGGCCACTGGTTGTCTAATTTTTATTTAGGTTGGACAAATTTACTTTGTCAAATTTATTTGTATTTAAGAGATATAAAATATAATGTTTACAGGAATGAATTATATTCTACATACATTTTTTTTCTAGATATTTAGTTGCTAAAGTAGACTTTATAGAGACAGAAAGTAACGTTCTAATACAGAATATAAATAGAATATAACTACAAGCTTTTCAAAGATGAAATTTTATTATAATTTTAGAAGAACAAATCTTATGAAAAATCAGCCAAGGTATACGTATAACAGGTATCAAAATGATCATAGTATAGTAATTGTTTAGAAGAAAAATGACAAAAATATTTGTGAAAAATATAGAATTGAAGATATCCACAGAAAATAAGTATAAGTTCGAATAACCTACTACTAAAAATGCACGTGTTCTAGTATAGTGTCGCAAGCAAAGTAATATGCAATCTCACTAACACTACTTGTAATATAATGCAACACAATATTCTAATATTTAATTAAGGTGTAGTGTTAGCTTGTGTTCAGTGATGTGGTACAACAGCATCACCAAGAGACTGTTTTTTGCAAACGTCTTGACGAAAAATGTAAGGAGTTTAAGAAGAGTGTTAAGTCATCTGCAAACTAAATACATTTTATAATAACTATTGTTATATAAATCAACAAATAACGTATATAAGTGTATAAATTGTAAAAAGTGTGTCCATGATATGATTAAGGGCACAATGTATAGCATTGGTGTAAAAGATATAAAATTGTATTATTTCAAA